CCTGTTACCAATGTTGTGCTGGTTCATAGCTATAGAACAAGCTTAAAGTTCAGTTCCCACAGTTGAAAATTAACTACCTCAGGTTCATTGTTAACTAAGTTCACAAATCTATAAATTAAGTAATTGAAGTTCAGTTGGTAAATTAATTCAATTCAATTCAATTCAGTTTATTTATATAGCGCCAAATTCACAACACATGTCATCTCAAGGCACTTTACAGTTCAACCAGATCATACAGTCAAATCGATACAAAGTTTTCTATCTAAGGAAAACCAGTTGATTGCATTGACTCATTGACTCAAATACAATCCCCCACACTAAGCATGCTTGTAGCGACAGTGGAGAGGAAAAACTCCCTTTTAACAGGAAGAAACCTCCAGCAGAACCAGGCTCAGTGTGAGCGGCCATCTGCCGAGGCCGACTGGGGTTCAAGGAGACAGAAGCAGAGATACAAAAAGCAGCTGTAAAAGGCGGCCCCGTCCAGGAAACACACAGCCAGGCAGACGAGCTCCAAGGCAGCTCCCATGCCAGAGGACGAAGAGAGCACATCCACTCAGTCATGGTCAGAGAAACAGGACCACACTGGAAAAAAGGCCGATCTCCAACATCTATAAACAAGGGTGTTGATAGAAGCAGCACAGCTGATGTTTCTTTCCAGGATGACGTCACAGCCAAACAGGAACAGACGAGGCAAAGCTACTCTGAGGAAAAGCAGAGAGAGCAGAAGGTTAGAGATTGAACTAACAGATTCTGCAGAATAGGAGAACAGAGAGAGAATGAAGCAGAATGATGAAATGGGGGTCCCTATGTCCTCCAAAAGTCTAAGCCTATAGCAGCATAACTATAGAGATAGCTCAGGATAACCTGAGCCACCCTAACTATAAGCTTTATCAAAAAGGAAAGTTTTAAGCCTAGCCTTTAAAGTAGACAGGGTGTCTGCCTCACGGACTAAAACTGGTAGTTGGTTCCACAGGAGAGGAGCCTGATAACTAAAAGATCTGCCTCCCATTCTACTTTTAGAAATTCTAGGAACCACTAGTAAACCTGCAGATTGAGAGCGAAGTGCTCTGTTAGGAACATAAGGAACAATCAGATCTCTGATATAAGATGGAGCTTGGCCATTTAAGGCTTTATATGTGAGAAGGAGGATTTTAAATTCTATTCTTGATTTAACAGGAAGCCAATGAAGAGAAGCCAGGATAGGCGAGATATGATCTCTCTTTTTAATTTTCATTAGAACTCTTGCTGCAGCATTTTGGATCAGCTGAAGGCTTTTAACTACAGTTTGTGGACTTCCTGATAGTAAAGAATTACAATAGTCCAGCCTTGAAGTAACAAATGCATGGACTAGTTTCTCAGCATCACCCCTGGACAGGATATTTCTAATTTTTGCAATGTTCCTCAGATGAAAGAAGGAAATTCTAGAAACCTCTTTGATATGGGATTTAAATGACAGGTCCTGATCAAAAATAACACCAAGATTTTTTACTTTATTATCTGAAATCAGTTTAATCCCATCCAAATGAAGTGACTGGCTAATCAGTTTCTTTTTCAGAGACTCTGTTCCAAAGACTATAACTTCTGTTTTGTCTGCATTCAGAAGCAGAAAGTTAAGAGTCATCCAGGTTTTTATGTCTTCAAGACATGCCTGTAATCTATGTAATGGGTTAGCTTCATCTGGATTTATAGACAGATATAGCTGGGTATCATCAGCATAACAGTGAAAATTAATCCCATGCTGTCTAATAATTCTACCAATTGGGAGCATGTATAAAGTAAAGAGAATTGGTCCTAGCACTGATCCCTGTGGTACTCCACAGGTAACCTTTGAGCGTGTTGAAGATCTATCATTAACATGAACAAACTGAATTCGATCAGATAGATAAGATTTAAACCAGTCTAGTGCTGTTCCTTTAATTCCAACAAAATATTCAAGTCTTTCTAAAAGAATATTATGGTCAACTGTATCAAATGCAGCACTAAGATCCAACAGGACGAGCACAGATACAAGTCCATTATCTGAGGCCATGAGAATATCATTAGTGACTTTCACCAGAGCTGTTTCAGTGCTATGATGAGCTCTAAAGCCAGACTGAAACTCTTCAAAAAGTTCATTATGGTGTAAGTGACCGCACACTTGTTTGGCAACTACTTTCTCAAGAATTTTGGATAAGAAAGGAAGATTGGATATAGGTCTATAATTGACCAAGTCATCTGGGTCAAGAGACGGTTTCTTAAGCAGAGGTTTAATTACAGCAACCTTAAAAGCTTTAGGTACATATCCCTGTAACAGAGATAGATTAATCACATCTAAAATGGAGGAGGAGATCAAAGGGAATACCTCCTTAAATAACCTGGTTGGAACTGGATCTAACATACAAGTTGAAGGCTTAGATGAAGACAATAATTTTGCTAATTCAGAAAGTTCAACTGGATCAAAGCAGTCTAAACCCGGTTCAGATTCCATGACTACCTCAGGTACAACCACGGATAGAGGAGTGCTTATGATCTTATTTTTAATAAGATCAATCTTATTTATAAAGAATCCCATAAAATCATTGCTGCTAAGAGCAGGTGGAATGGACGGTTCAACAGAGCTATGGCTCTGGGTGAGTTTGGCAACTGTATTAAAAAGAAATCTAGGATTATTCTTATTCTCCTCTATTAATGAGGAGAAGTATGCTGCTCTTGCTTTACAAAGGGTCCTCTTATACAGCAGTAAACAATTTTTCCAGACTAGGAAGGACTCTCGCAGGCCTGTGGAGCGATATTTTCTCTCCAGTTTCCTAGCATTTTGCTTCAAAGTACGCAGCTCTGCATTAAACCAAGCTTTCTATTTTTCACAGTTTTCATTTTCAAAGGAGCTGCGTTGTCTAAGGCAATACGCAGAGAACTAGCAACCCCATCAACAAAATCATCAACCTGTGAAGGGGAATAAGCTAAGCTTTTGCACTCTGCAGCACTGTTCAGCGACACAGAGGAGAGAGAAAGTGAAGCAGATTCTTTAAAATTTATAACTGCACTATCTGATAAAGATCTACTACAATTGAACCGTCTTTTGGGGGAGGAGAACTCTGTTAAAGTAATCCTGAAGGTTATTAGAAAGTGGTCAGAGAGGAAAGGGTTGTGAGGAAATACTGTTATTTCTTCACATTCTATGCCATATATCAGCACAAGATCCAAAGTATGAAGATGATAATGCGTGGGACCACTCACACTCTGAACAAAGCCAATAGTGTCTAAGATAGCATTAAAGGCTGCTCTTAAGCTATCGCCTTCAATGTCAGCATGGATGTTAAAATCTCCCACTATGATGACCCTGTCAGTATTTAATACCAAATCAGAAAGGAACTCTGAAAACTCATCTAAAAATTCAGAGTAAGGACCTGGTGGACGATACAAAGTTACAAAAAGAAGAGGTTTTCTTGCCTTGAAATTTGGATCAGGGAAATTAAGGGTTAAATGTTCAAAAGAGTTGTAGGTATTAATTGTTTTGGGAGTAATCAGTAAGTCAGACTGGAAGATTGTTGCTACTCCTCCTCCTCGCCCAGAACTTCTGGGTATGTGAAAATTTAAATAGCTTGAAGGAGTTGCCTCATTTATGCTCACATAATCCTCTTGCTGCAGCCAGGTTTCTGTAAGGCAAAACAAGTCAATGTGATTATCATAAATCAAGTCATTAACTAGTAGACTTTTAGAGGAAAGCGATCTTATGTTATACAGACCGCATTTAATTGTTTTAACTTTTTCCCCAATTGGAGTTATTTTGATTTTAATTAGATTATCGTGATTTACTCCTTTGGGAATCTTTGCTAATTTATTAGATTTTGGTCGTGGGCAAGACACTGTCTGGATGGAGTAAAGAGTGGGTGACAGTAGAGAAGCTGCAGAGATGTGTGTTAAACTACAACTCTGCTTCCTGGTCTGTTCACAATCCTACACAGCAGAACTTCATATTGACCCTTTAAATGTGTGATCATGGGCGTGCAGGTGGCGCAGTGGTTAGCACGCACGACCTATGTACGGTGGCCTTAGTTCTTGACGCGGGCGACCCGGTTTTGAATCTGGCCTGTGGTCCTTTCCCGCATGTCTCTCCCACTCTCTTATACCCCCTTTCCTGTCAGCCTTGTGTTAAAAAAACGAGCCACTAGTGCTGTAAAAACAACAACAAAAAAACAATGTGTGATCATAATATATAGAAATAAATGAAAAATATTCGATACAGTCAATATATACTTCAGGTACAGTGAAGCCTTTATTTAGCCAAATTACATAGAACCTCAGAAACAAACAGTTACATTCAGGTGTTCTGTATCAAAAATGATTTTATACGTTCTTCATTCAGTAGCAGATATTTCCCAAGATAGCTCGGAGGCTTTAACTTGATGTGTCGCTTAAAATTTTAAGTGGACGTGGCTGATGTGTGGACTTTAGTTTGTTTATTTCCAATGGGAATTAACGAAAACATGAGTTTTTTTTTTCTGTCCAAGACTTCCTTTGTTAGTTCATAAAATTCTGCCAAGTGCTCTGCTAACCTGGCATCAGAAATACCAGTAGATGAGTCTAAATCATGCAGACTAGTACTAGCAGTAGACATGCTGGTCTGTAGTGCTGTTTGCCATAATAAGTGCTGTCAAACCTGACGTTATCCAATAAAAAAGGGTTATCAATAAAAGGTGAACATGAGCTGTGTGCATGGCTCATTATTCTCAGAGTGAACTTTTATTAATTCAAAACTGATGTGTTCAGTTCACCATTCACTAAAAATATGAACATATTCAGTGAATGTCGTTCATGGAACATTTTTACGCACAATACTACCTGTTACTTAAAAGTTGTAGTAGGAACATGACAAAATAAAGAAGATTGATAGATATGAAATCGTAAGTTATTACAGCCAAAAAACAAGTTTTTGTCCCTGAGCAGATTTTAAGCCCTCCCTCCATTTAAATATTTCCTCATTAACTTTCCTTTTTAATTCCCGCTTTCTGTTTTTTCAGAAAAACCATGTTTATAAGAAGACTTTACAAGCCTTGATCTACCCCATCTCCTGCACCACACCGCACAATTTTGAAGTGTGGACGGCCACCACTCCCACCTACTGCTATGAGTGCGAGGGCCTGCTCTGGGGCATCGCTCGGCAGGGAATGCGCTGTGCCGAGTGTGGGTTTAAAGTTCATGAGAAGTGCCAGGAGCTGCTCAATGCTGACTGTCTGCAGAGTAAGTTTGGTTACCCCATTTTTTTGTCATGCAGAGGATTCATAGAGGGCTGAAAATCCATCAAAACCTATCAAATTTAACAATGTAGAAGGTGCTTAATCTTTTTACACCAAATACAATTGTAAATATTTTCCCTGCATTTTGTTGATGTAGGTAAATACATTTTGTATTTAACTTTGGTAAATGTCCAGAAACTGCTTTGGGGAGATATTTTGAGGCTTCTTATTAAGTGACTTTATTCATCTTCAGGAGCAGCAGAGAAAAGTTCCAAGACTGGAGCAGAAGATCGGACGCACCACATCATCATGGCTATGAGAGATCGGATGAAGATCCGGGAAAGAAACAAGCCGGAGATCTTTGAAGAAATCAGGAAGGTGTTTATCATTTCTAAGATGATTCACGCCCAGCACATGAAGAGCGTCAAGCAGAGCGTACTAGATGGCACCTCCAAATGGTCTGCCAAGATCACCATCACAGGTAAGCCAAAAAAAGTTTCGATATCACAGTAATTGTTAATTAAATGCTTAGGTATTATTTATCTGTTTACTTTGCAGAGGTTTTTAAAAAAAAAAAACTTTTTTTCAGATCTGGCTAAACTGGGAATCCTATAACCATTGAAAGCATTTGCTTCCATAATGTTTTTTTTCGTAAGCTGTACTTCGACTGTGGTGTTAAAAATATTCCTGCAGGAACTACAAGGAAACAATGTGCTTCAGTAAGCAGTTGACATAAGCCATAGGATATTTAAGAGAATACTTTCTTCATCCCTGCCACACAATTTGGTTTAAATTTTTATGATTTATTTTTTTACATTGTCGAGATCATGAGACATACAGTGAGAAAAATAAGTATTTGAAAAACCTACTAATTTGCAAGTTCTCCCTCTTAGAATTCATGAAGGGATCCTAAATGATTTTGGCCCGGTCTTCCACACAGTTCTTCCCTAGATCAGTCAGGTTTCTGGGCTGTCACTGAGAAACATGGAGTTTGAGCTCGCTCCAAAGATTCTCCATTGGGTTTAGATCTGGAGACTAGCTAGGCCATGCCAGAGCCACTCCTTGGTTATCCTGGCTGTGTGCTTCGAGTCATTGTCATGTTGGAAGCAAGCCTTGACCCATCTTCAATGCTCTAACTGAGGTAAAGCGGTTGTTCCCAAAATCTTGCAATACATGGCTCTGGTCATCGTCTTAATACAGTGCAGTCGCCCTGTCCCATGTGCGGAAAAACACCCTCAAAGTATGATGCTACCACCCCCATGCTTGACATTATGGATGGTGTTCTTGGGATGGTACTCATCATTCTTCTTCCTCCAAACACAGTTAGTGGAATTAAGACCAAAAAGTCCAATTTGTGTCTCATCTGACCATATTATTCCCGTGACTCCTCTTTATCATCCAAATGGTCATTGGCAAATGTAAGACGGGCATTAAAATGGGCTGGGGAACCTTCCGTACCATGCATGATTTTAAACCATGATTTCTTAGTGTATTACCAACAGTAACCCTGGAAATGGTGATCCCAGCTCCCTTCAGGTGATTGACCAGCTCCTCCTGTTTTTCAGGCTTATGTCTCTCGCAGTGGACATGCACCTACGATGACAATTTCAGACCCCTCCATGATTTCTAAGTAGGAGAACTTGCAAAATAGCAGGGTGTTCAAATACTTATTTTCGTCACTGTATATTAGAAAACATATTTACTGTGTTTACTTTCCTGCCCTGAGTTAATTTTCTCTAAGACTCTTGACTTTCTGTCTAGTCACCTCAGAGAGCTGTGCACTCCCAGCCTCGATTTCCTACAGTTTAAGTCTGTTTTCTTTTACCTGAGAATTTTAGGTGAGAAATCCTATTAATCTGCCAGTTTTCCTGCAAAGTGCATGACATATCAATCATAACTAGGTCTCACTGAAGATTTTACACGGTGAATAAATCAGTGGCTCAGTTTCTCAACAAAGTTGCTTCTTACAGGAGCAGCAGCACCATTTTTCTGCTTATTTTTTAAGCCAGTGGTGCAAGTTTAGAATAATATGGAGCAGTTTTTAAGAAATTCTGTCTAATATCGTCTATGGATTGTTAGATTAATAAAAGGAAAAGGAATATCAGATTACATTGTGTCAGAAAACAGGGGAAGCAGAAACACATGGTTACTCCAAATTGTTTAAAAATGGGGGAGCAGCTGCTCCACTTGGTTCCTTATTCAGACTCTTTCCCCTTGTTTGCTACCTGGAGAAAAAAAGGGAAAATCGCCATAGTAACCTGTGACTCACCATTTTTATACTTTTTATAACCCATCCCGGTCGGCCTATAGAGACACTGTAAAAAAAAGCTGCATAATACTTTTTCTCTATCGAAAAATTTCAGAGCCTTTTCTCACAGAAACTGCAACAGTAAAGTGGTAATTGTTGTTTTTGTTTTGTGGTTTTTTTTTAATGTTTCATTTAAAAGTTTGTTGAAAGAAGCATGCTTTTTAGGTAAACATTTCACAGAAAATGTTTAGAAAAGCAAATGAAATATATTACCACCAATGAAAAGATTGAGCTGTTATTTGTTTCTTTATGGTGTCTACATGTTCAGTTCGGATCCACACAGGGCACGTGGCAACAGGATTCGCTGCTTCATACCCTGTGGGTATTGATAGCACTCATATCTCTGTGTGAAGTCAGTCAAATGATTGAACACAAGACTCCCCTTTGACGCAGTAGGCTTCTGTTGCCTTTATGGGTCCTTTCATCTGTGTGGATGTGAAAATTATAAAAGTCTATCATGGCTGAATGTATTAATAATTAGCAATCTATTCTTATTTTAACACTTTTAACGGTCAACTTGGAAAAATAATCGTAAGAATAGTGCATTTCCTCAAAATTCGAACTTGCATTAACCTCCTTCTGTTATGTTTATTAAAAGTTTGAAAAGATTTTTATTATAGTGCAACCTAAGGTATTTCAATCAATGTAGTGATCTTAAACTCCATGCCTTGAAGGTCATTGACCTTCATCCTACTGAATTTACTTCTCCTTTCCCCTTCCTATACACTCATGAGTCAAATTTCAAAACTGCTTTAGTGTAATTAGGCTTTTCAGAGCTCTGCAAAGAGTTCTGTTACTGCCTTAGGTCAGGTTTGTTTGATTTGTCAGTTTTTCCCCAGGTTTAGTTTGTTTAAGCAGAGATAGTCCTCGTGAACTGTAGTTCATGGAGACTTGAGTATCAAACCACTAATCTAAAGGGTTTCAGATATACTATTTTACAAAAAGTATTCGCTCACCTGTCGTGACTCACATATGGGCTTAAGTGGCGTCCCATTCCTAATCCATAGGGGTTCAACATAGGGCTGAATCAATTAATCGGATTAATCGTGATAAATCAATTATTAAAATAATCGTCAACTGATTTAGTAATTGATTAATCGTTGACTGGAGTATAAAGACTGTAAAACAGGCCATTAGCTGACAGAGGGACCCACTTAGAATAATGGTTATATCAAAATTGTAGAAAAATCTTTAAACATTTTGCATTTAAGATTTAAAAAATCTGGAACTCCTCAAGTGGAAAGGTTTTCGTTTGATAATTAATCAATTAATGGAAAAAATAAACCCCAGATGAAGTGATTTGCAACATAATCGTTAGTTGCAGCCCTAGTTCAATATGACGTCGGTCCACCCTTTACAGCTAGAACAGCTTCAGCTCTTCTGGGAAGGCTGCTCACAAGATTTGAGAATTTTTTCCAGAAGCACATCTGTGAGGTCACACACTGATAGTGGAAGAGAATGCCTGGCTCTCAGTCTCTGCTTTAGTTAATCTAAAAGGTGATTTGCTCCTCCGATCAGCAGCTCAGCGACCTCCCACACCTCCCCTACAATCTGAATGAATATCTGAGGGGTTTTCCCGCCCAACCTGCTCCTCCATACCCAGGAGTCAGACCCACATCCTCACATACATCCTCTACTTCAGGGGTTCCCAAAGTGGCAGACAGCGGGGGGTCATTGTGATGCAATCCCTCAAGTGTGGAGGGCAAAATATATCATAAAATGCATAAATCAGTGGATGAAGCTGACTGCTGGCCAGTCAGCTTCATCCACACCAGACTCTCCCATCCATGTCTTTATGGACCCTTTTTGGACCCTGCTCCTGAGCTCTTGAAAATGACCCATTCTTTCACAAATGTTTGTCACAAACATTTGTGTCACAAACATTTGTGAACAAACACTTTCGTAAAGTGTAGCAATGTAGTGTTCAACTGTGAATTAATTTCAAATGCAAATTTAATATAATTTTTTCATAAATAACAAGTGACTCAGTGCTTTAAAAAGAAGTTCTGAATTAATCTAACAGAAATATAAAGGTGCACAGTCATGTTTTCTGGCCCTACAAAAAAGACCAAAAATCATTTGATCATGACTAAAAAAGTTAATCTTGACCAGTCATCCATCTTGATGGTATTTACAACTTTTTTTAAGCCTAAAATGAGTTTTAGCACTGAGCAGACATAAGCAGAAATGTCCCCCTCAGCATAACCACAGGACTGTCAAAACCGGATGACGACAATTGAAGTAGCTGCTTAATAAGTTAAGCAGCAGCTCAGAGTGGTCAAAGGCCAACCCAAATGCACAATAATTCTAAGTTCTAATAAATTCACCTCAGTCTCTCTTAACAGAACATCGAGGGAAAAGAAAAATCCTGTTCTTACACAAATGTTTGTCACAAACATTTGTGTCACAAACATTTGTGAACAAACACTTTCGTAAAGTGTAGCAATGTAGTGTTCAACTGTGAATTAATTTCAAATGCAAATATAATATAATTTTTTCATAAATAACAAGTGACTCAGTGCTTTAAAAAGAAGTTCTGAATTAATCTAACAGAAATATAAAGGTGCACAGTCATGTTTTCTGGCCCTACAAAAAAGACCAAAAATCATTTGATCATGACTAAAAAAGTTAATCTTGACCAAAAATCATTTGATCATGACTAAAAAAGTTAATCTTGACCAGTCATCCATCTTGATGGTATTTACAACTTTTTTTAAGCCTAAAATGAGTTTTAGCACTGAGCAGACATAAGCAGAAATGTCCCACTCAGCATAACCACAGGACTGTCAAAACCGGATGACGACAATTGAAGTAGCTGCTTAATAAGTTAAGCAGCAGCTCAGAGTGGTCAAAGGCCAACCCAAATGCACAATAATTCTAAGTTCTAATAAATTCACCTCAGTCTCTCTTAACAGAACATCGAGGGAAAAGAAAAATCCTGTTCTTACACAAATGTTTGTCACAAACATTTGTGTCACAAACATTTGTGAACAAACACTTTCGTAAAGTGTAGCAATGTAGTGTTCAACTGTGAATTAATTTCAAATGCAAATATAATATAATTTTTTCATAAATAACAAGTGACTCAGTGCTTTAAAAAGAAGTTCTGAATTAATCTAACAGAAATATAAAGGTGCACAGTCATGTTTTCTGGCCCTACAAAAAAGACCAAA